CTTTCCCTTTGTGTTCATTTTGGTTAATTACTGGAAGATGGCGGTTCCGGCCAAAAGGACTGTCAGGAGGTTGGTTTTTTTAGAGATTTTCTGCTATTGGTGCATGTGCTCACCAGAGAGACAGAAAGTGAGAAATCACCCCCAAGAGGGGATGGCCATATCACAATTCTTTCTCCTCCATTCACCTCTTGGGATTTTGGACACGCACGTACATGCACCCAGCGTGTTTCAAGTTGCTGGGTCGAGGACGTGAATCACAGTCCACCACATGGGAGTCTAGCAATGCAACCATTACTCCATCTACTGGTCACTTGAGAAGTTTTTAAAAAAATATATAAAGCACACTAAGATTGTAGTTTCTTTCATCAGTAAGTTTCCTCCAAAATTTGTGCCCCTAGCCTCCACCTCCTTATTCCCCGTCAGTCCCCAGCTGCTTCATCCCATGACCTACCCCTGACCCTTACTTGGGTCCCTTACCAAGTTCCCCTCCTTCTCCCTGGGCTCCTCTTCCTTGTCTGCTCCTCCTCCTTGTCTTTTCCAGCTGCCTGCTTCCCTCTTCCCCTTTGTGACTCCTCCAGCCTTTTCCCCTAAGGAGTTCCAAGCACTCCTTCCTGTTCTTGGCATCTGAGGCTCCCTGTCATGAATGGCATCTAACATTCTCTATGATCTGGAGAATACCGTTCTTCAGGAAGTTCTGAATCTGGGCCGTAGAGCCTGTGGGCTGGGCAGAGAGAGACACACGCAGTGACAGGGAAAGTGAGAAATCACCCCGGGGCATCTTGGGCACGCACAAACACACCCAGCTTGAGTTTCAAGTCCACCGGGTCCAGGACTTGAACCACACTCCACTCTGGGAGTTCGGTGACATAACTTATGCCATTCCCTGGCCCTTTAATGTTTTGACTGACATACTAATTATACATATTTGTGGGGTCCCATGTGCGTTTCCATACACAGATACATCGTGCCCCCCAGGAACAAGGGCAGTGGCTGTGGATTCCATAGCCTGGCCCTCTTTCCATCCGTCATTACTAACATCTGGGCACGTTAGCGGGGCCAGGTGAGTGAAGGTAGGACTGAGATTTGGCAGGCAAGGGTGCCCTGGGCTCAAGTTGTAAAAAGCAAAGCTTCGGGATTGGGGAGAGTGGGAACAGAGTCTGCTGCGGTCAGGACAGGAGATCCTGACTCCTGAATCCTTCCCCGACTCCTACTCAGGAGGTCCTAACCACAACACCCACGTGCATGCATTCGCCTCTCGCTGGGCAGAGGGCAGGTAGGCAGGCTTTTTGTTTTTTGATGTAGGGCACTGGCTTAAAGGAAGAGGGGGCTTATGTCATTACGACAGGGTCCCCGCTCCTGTTTTTATTGGTGACAGACTATCGTGGAACACACAAGGCCATGAGATTACTTGGGAGCATGGCTCATTTTAATTGTGGGACTCCTCGGCCACAAGAAAGTGATGACTATATCCTTCCATGCACAGAATGCACACAAGATTCAGACGTAGGCTACTGGGGACACATAGAACAAATGGACAATTGGAAGAATTCAAAAGGTTTAATACATGACAAGGGGCTGGCAGGTGGTGTGGTGGTTAAGGCACTGGACTCCCACATGGCCAACCAAGGTTTGAATCCTAGACTTGGCGACTTGGTTTCGCACTCTCTCTCTCTTTCTTTCTCTTTCTCGTGAGCACATATGTCCCATAGCAAACTTTAAAAATAACAACAGCAATAATAATAAATAAAATAAATAATTTAAGATATACATGTATATACACACAACACCAAAGGAATGAACAGGGTCTCAGGAAATACCAGGAGATACCACACTGGCAATTTTTCAATGTTGTCCTAACATTCAGATGCTTCCTCTGGGAGAAAGAAGAAGGTTTGCATAGTGCAGATGGTTTCATTCCACCAAGATACGCCGAACTTGGTGCTGGGTAAGCTTGACAGAAGAGTGATCAGGCGATGTTCCAAGTTTGCAGGGATTATACTCAGCTGGAATGGGCTCTAAGAGAAGGGAAGTCACAAATCTCTTTCCTTTTTTTGTTTTGTTTTTTTCTCTGCTCACCCATTTATAGAATATTCCACCTCTGCAGTGGTCATTGGCTGGTATCAGCATTGTCCCTCTGGAGAGCACTGGTTCGCAAATTTGAGCAGGTTCTATATCACCGGGAAGGTTTATTAGACCTGGTTCCATTCCCAAAGCCTCTGATTCAGTAGGTCTGTAGTGCAGCCCAAGAATTTTCTATCCGTTCCCTGGAGACGCCACTACTGTTACTCCAGGGACCTCACTTGGAGACCCACTGGTCTACATGGCAAGAAATGCATGTGTTTGCTCGTATGTACATTTGAAAACTTGGGACCTGGTATATAATTTATGAACTACAGCTATATTCACATGTAGTTTGGGGCTATTAAAAAATATTTTAGAGGGGCTTTTGTGTTTGCCCAACAAATCAGCTCACCATTTTGTGGGTCTTGGTAAAGGAAAACCCACATTCCTCTTAGATTCTCCAGTGAGACTTCTCCAAGTGGGGCTAAGCAGGTACAGAAGAAAACAGGAAAGAAGATTACATCCATAATATATTCTGATTTTAATTTCAGGGTAAGATGCAGGGCTTCATTTTACCATTGAGAGAGGTTTTGACTCTGTAGGGTGATACATATTTATGTAAGTTTGAGCTTAATAACATAAAGACTCAACGGCATAAGTTTGTTTGAATAACCTGGTTGCATAATTTGAAATGAAATGCAAAATAAGAGGTAGTTCTTAGTTGGTCTAGAACAGCACTTTTCGATTCTGACTGTATTAATATCACCTGGAGAGCTTTAAAATCTGGATTCAGCTGAGATGGGTTGGGCTCAGGTATTAATACGTTCTGAAAGCATCCCAGGTGATGGCAGCACGCAGCAGGCAGCAAGC